AATTTTTTTATAATTAAATTTTTGCTAGTTTTACTCAAACTTTGATGATAGATATCTTGATAACTATTAATCTAAATTGGCTTAAATTTTTATTATAGATAGTGATCATATTCTTATACTATATATAAAATTTTTAGCTGATTTGGTTTAGTAGTTTTCATATATGTTAACAAAAGTCAACAGTTTGAAAAACCAGACTAAGTACCGATCTAACCCGATACGCACCGATCCAATCTGGCACCAAATACCCAACTGCATATAGCACAGATCAGCCAATTAATACAATCCACAGGTCACTGCTGCACACAGGCAAAACTAACCACTCCGATGGCCAATCATCACTATGCAGATGACCCATCGGCCACAAGAACACAGGTTCCATTGACATGGGCATATGCCACACAAGCCATATATAAATATGCCTTACCTAGCCCTTACTAACTTTATCTGCAAAGCATCAAAACAATTTTTGGCAAATCACTATAAACGATCAAACAAAAAATTCAAGCAACAACCCAACTAACAATGCAAAATTACACACTAATTCATCTGATATTGATGAAAAAACAAAGACATATATTGATCATGCATGTCAATCATCGATCAATGCAATTATTAATACAATAAAATCTTATATTGATCACTCAATGAGCACACAAATGGATTTAATCAACAAAATAAATGAACGAATAGAAATGTGTCTTAACTAACAAGAAAGACATAATATTCAACCCAACAACACTTTCCAAAACCACTTCACAGCACAACCACGATTTTTTTCCAGCCATCATTCAACAGCAAAACAACCACCACCAACAACGAAACCACTGTGAAAATAATACTAATTAACAAGGTAACTGTTCCCTTACACCCCTTTTGAATAATCTATTATTGAACACCAATAGCACTAGCTTACATAACGAGAATAGCACTGTGCCTCATATTCAAACCAAAGCAACAAACACAATAAAAACCAAAGCAACTGTAAGAACGTATCCCTCCCTTGACTAACCAACCTCCAACTCGTAAGCAACTTTAATAATGCCACTGCAGTACAAATAGAGCAAATTCATATATAGTAGATCCTCAACTGGTCCGAGGGTCAGAAAATAATTGAAACATTGCCAAACAAACCAAGCTTGCCTATGCGCTTGTGGAAAACAATTGCCTTCGGCAATTATGTTGATCTTCATGAATTTGTATACAAAAACCTAAAAGCTTACCTCAAAAACAACGATGACAACCAAACTATTTTAACCAACAAAGACAGCACCATTACTCTTCGTAAACGCAGTCGCCAACAAAAGTTCAACGACATTTCTGAATAGCTTCTAGCTTTCAAATCTTATATGGAGGCAGTGTTAGTAATATACGAAATGCGTGAACACAAATTAAATGCGTACCATGACCACATTAGCACCCTGTGCATCAAACAAGAATTCTATGCCATTTTGAACTACGATGAAAATCGTAGAATTTACCTTACTGCAAATCGTGACACCATCTTACTCAATCAAAACATCGAAGCCAAGGGCGAAAATTTCAACGTGACCACCACCAAGAAGTTCTGCACCACCAACGCATCTAGATTCCCCAAGCCAGATATCACCTAGAACGATAGTCGTCAAATATGCAAAATTGAAATGAGAAAGGCTGCACTGAAAACGCCAATTGCCAATAGGTCCACACCTATCTAAATTGTAGAAAATTTAGCCACCCAGACCGAAGGTGCTTCCTTAATAGATCTACATCTACAAGACAACCGGACAACCAGACTCAGGCAAACAAATAAGAGAAAATATAATATAAATAAATATATATATGCCCAACATATATAGATATAATAAGGAACATAAATATATAAATATAAAAAAAAAAAAAAAGAAGACAGGAAATTAGCAATCAAAATTCACGCACATCACTTCCTCTTCAAAAAAAAAAAAAAAAAAAAAGAGTTGCACAAATCAAATATATATACACGTGAGATTAGAAGGAAGTAAATCGATACGTATATACACATTCTAATTATCGCAAAAAAAAAATAATAATAATATATAGATTCAAACATAGACAGCAGATCATGGGCACAATACTTATTAAGCAAAGCTTTACATTGTATATATAAAAAAAAAAAAAAAAGAGAAAAAAGAAAGAGATAGAAAGGAAAATACATACTTATATAATAATGCTTATATATATCTGATATAATAACAAATTTTTTTTAAAAAAAATAATAATATAATATAAAAATATATATAATGTTAAATTCACGTAACATAATTGAATATTGATACACCACTAACATGTCCCACATACATACCTATAACGTATAGACGATCACATATCAAATAACTTAGTACACGCAGTGCAATTTAAACTATCCCGAAATATCACAATAGACGAGGCTCCAGCACTCCAATCAGTTAACGAGACTATATTAACAATACCCCACCGACCATTCCCCTAACCAGCATCGAACTACAACTACTATCATAACTTGACCTACAACAATTCAATATACAAACCCTAATAAATATCATAGCGCTTCAATATCTAACATCAACCCACCCCAATCGCCCATTCATAGAATACTTAATCAATGTAATAAGATATTGTTTCAGATTCAATTTCAGAGACACCCACACAAAAATTATCCAGGAAAAACTGCAATCAATCAACACAGCCCCAGAAACATTCTACACCTACATAAAGAATGAATTAGCAAACAAGTGTATATGTGGCCTATTCTACAAAAACGACCCACCATGCAACATCTTCCAAATCAATCTGTGCGGCCTGGTTGAGAAAAAAGATTCAAATTCAACAGCATATCGGATTATTTTACACTTATTATCCCCAGCAAACAAAAGTATAAATGATAAGATCGACAAATTAGAATTCGCAACACAATACAAAACAGTAACACATGCAATCAAATGAATTAATTATTTCAGCAAAAGGTGCACACTTTCCAAAATCGACATAAAAGACACATATCGCATACTGCCGGTCTATCCTATAAACTAGATACTACAAGGTTTTTGCAACGACAATAATATATATTTCAACAAAGTCCTTGTATTCAGAAACCATGCTTCCGGTGGCATTTTTTGTCACTTCGCCAACACCATTACATGGATTGCCTCACAACAAGGCCTCCCAGCTATAATCCATTATGTCGATGACTTTCTCATTATTTCACCAACAGACAGATCACGAGAATTGCGACAATTTATACATATTCTTGACACCATAAACATACCTTATAAAGACACAAAGTTGGAAGCCCAAGCATCTCCATTACTTTTTTAGGTATATGGCTCGACACAGTTGATATGACAGTATCTATATCGCCACAAAAACACGACAAACTACTACTTCTACTAAAACAATATATCAGCAAAAAAAATTGCCTACAGAAGGAACTCCAATCATTAGTAGGCTCATTGGTATAGGCATGTCAAATTATACCCCAAAGACACCCCTTTATACAACATCTAGTAAAAGCACAAAATTCATCTACTAATCGACATCACCATATCCGCATAACCAAACCCATAACCTTCGACATTCAGTAGTGGATTTCCTTACTATAAACATGGCCAGGCATTCAGCTCTTACAGGACTGGGACTGGCACAATCCTCTTACTCTAAACTTGTATACTGACGCATCGAACATAGGTGGAGATGTGATATACAGAAATTACTTTACTGCTTTTAATTGGGCCAAATCGATCAACTTGGCCACAATAAATATACAAATACGCGAGTTGTTGACCACAATAATTACAATATGCACTTTCACCCCTATATAGGAGAGAAAAAAATTTATCATTTGGACTGAAAATTCCACTAATGCAGAAGTATATTACGCCGACTACTGCAAAAACTCAAACATCAATAAAATTATTGCCCACATATACAAAGAACAAATCTTCGAGAATTTCTTCATCAAAATTCAACATATATCCGGAACAAATAATATCAACGCAGACTTGCTTTCTTGTAACAGGCATCGTAAATACATTACCAAAAACCCCTTATCTATATACCTCCAACCCGATATCCCTCTCAACTTCATAGACCTAAGTTCTCTAATTCCATCCCTTAAACAATAGCCACATCTAACACAGCTCCCACATTACAGTCCCAACCCAATTCGACAACTAATACATACATTTTTGGCAGCCATGAATCTCTGGATAAGAAAGCCGCATCCATCTTAGACATCCCAACTCCTGTCAACAAATCCTACGAAGCAACGATTAAACGTTACAAAATGTTAGCAACAACCAACAAGTGGCTCAACCATGACAAGTCTATTTGGCCTATATCAAAAAACTCTCTAGTGAAATATATAACACTACTATACAAAACCATTTCTCCACCAACTATAGTATCGTACCTTTCTGCCCTAAAATACCACCACACGAGAAATCTCTACGATTAGACTCATGTTCGAACTGACCCTTTAATTATCCAACTCTTAAAAACCATCAATGCAACACATACCCACACCCCAGTAAAGCAGAAGACCCACATCACTCGCTTCTATTTATTCTGCATTAAAAACAAACTCAACTTGGCTAACCCTACAGACCTTCTATTTTGGACCATTGCACTTGCAGCATTTTACGGCCTCGTACGCCTCGGCGAACTACTCCCAAGCAGCCAATCCAAAAGCACCAAAGTCCCAACCCTACAAGCCTTAAGATTTGAGAAACCCGGAAACAGCACCTTTGCAACCATACAACTCACAAAAACAAAGAACTACAAAACAGCGAACCGAGTTTCATTAATTATCAATCCAACCAACAACGATCTCTGCTCCATATGCATTCTAAAATCCTATGCTCAACTACGCACAAACCCAGCATATACAAAAAACAATACAATGCTATTCGCAAAACTCGACAGCTCATGAGCCTCAAAACAATGGTTTATAGGAAAACTTAAAAACCTCCTCCCAACGAGGACGTTACCGAACATAGCTTCCACGCAGGAGGCACAACTGAATTAGTATTGTAGAGCGTACAACTAGTAATAATTTAAAAAATTGGCAAATAGGAATCTGATGCCTTCTACAGATACATCCGAAGCCATCCCGCCACAATTGCATCAATACTCATCTGAGCTTACACCAATTAACCCTACTTCAACATATTGGAACAAAAACTCTGGCTTAATTAATATCAGCACAAAGCCTATACAAAAAAAAAAAAAAAAAAGAAAAGAAAGAGAATTGACAATAACAACAATACTCTGATTATATATATATATATATATATATATAAACATTTGATAACTACAACAAAGATTAAAGACAACACCATCCCTGAAGCACATACCATATATATAAAAAAAAAAAAAAAAGAAGAGAAACTTATCAAATAAAAGAATCAACCATACTTTTGGAATAATCACATAATTCTGCCGTTTTAACAGCCGGTCTGCTTCGGCAAATAGAAAACCACAGCTAAATAATTAGGCTAGGATCTCCTATTTAATTTCTGTCTGCTCTGTTATGATGACTCCTAGCACAATTATTATTGCTATCTTTTCGGGATATTCATCATTTTAGTTTCTATTACTTTTATTCACTTCATATTTATCTCTAATAAAGTTATCTCTGGCTCTTATCGCAGCCAGCATTACTCCATATACATGAGGCATATATCTATATTTTTTGTATATGTTGACAAAAGTCAACAGTTCGAAAAACCAGACCAAGCACCGATTTGACCCGGTACGCACCAATCTAATCCAGTACCAAATACCCAACTGCATGTAGCACAGATCAGCCAATTAATATGATCTGCAGGTCACTGCTACACATGGGCAAAACTAACCACTCCGACGGCCAATCATCACTATGCAGGTGATCCATTGGCTACGAGAACACAGGTCCCATTGACATGGGTATATGTCACACAAGCCATATATAAATATGCCTCATCTAGCCCTTACTAACTTTACCTGCAAAGCATCAAAACAATTTTTGACCCTGCCCTATCCCTCTACAAACAGCAATCATAATTACATGATTCTGCCATTCTAATAGCTGGCCTGCTTCGGCAGGCAGGAAACCACTAGCTAAATAATTAGGCTAGGATTATCTATTTAATTTCTGTCTAGTCTGTTACAATGACTCCTAGCACAATTATTATTGCTATCTTTTTAGGATATTCATTGTTTCAGTTCCTATTACTCTTATTCACTTTATATTTATCTCTAATAAAGCTATTTTTGGCTCTTATCACAGCCAGTATTACTCCATATACATGAGGCATGTATCTATATTTTTCAAGTAATTATTTGTATATGATAGTTAATTTTTTTAAAAAAATTGACTATTATATACAAGCAATTATTCGAGAACTATCTAATCAAATCGGCTACAATTTTTATATTTAATATAAGAATATCAATACTATCTATAATAAAAATTTTAGCTAATTTGAATTCCTATTTATTGAGATATCTATTGTGAAATCTTGAGTAAAAATAGAAAAAATTTTATTATAAAAAAATTCGTTATTTTTACTTAATCTTTGGTGATAGATATCTCAATAACTATCAGTTTAAATCGGCTCAAATTTTTACTATAGATAGTGTTGATATTTTTACTATCGTATACAAGTAATTACTCGAGAACTACCAGATTAAATTGGCTAAAATTTTTATATTTAATATAAGAATATTAACACTATCTATTATAAAATCTGAGCCAATTTAGAGTGATAGTTATCGAGATATCTATTACCAAAGTTTAAGTAAAAATAGAAAATTTTATTTATTTATTAGATGTTTAGATTTTTTAAAAATTTTATTTAAAGTTATCTTCACAAATCTATAGAATTTAATAAAAATTTTTTTTATTAATTTGTAATTTAAAGAGGTAATTTTATTAATAAATTGGTAAAAAAACTTTT